TTTTTTTTTTTTTTTTTGTCCCAGGGATCCAACTTGGGACCTTGTGCTTGAGAGGCAGGTGGCGGAACTACTGAGTTAAACCCCCGGTCCTGTTTCATATACTTTTGTTGAGAACTGGACAATTAAAATAATATATTGTAGCAACTGTAGATTCTGATTTTGTTCCCCTGAGGGCTGTTTCTGCTACTTGTAGGTTTCTGTTTGTTTGTTATTTTGATTTAGTGTTTAGTAATTGCCTGGAGTAAACCTACAGAACCTGTCTACCTAGCATTTGTTCTAGAGCTATGATTCTTAGTTGTTGTTTTTTAATTCTTATTTTTATTATTTATCTTGGCTTCCCATGGGCCATCTTTGTGTCTAAATACTTTAGTGGTAAACCAGTGATTAGTCAGAGGTTTTGCCCAAATACCTAGTGATGGTAAAATTTCCACTTTTTGCTTATAAATCTGTGTGGATTGAAGAGAACCCTGAAAGCTCGGCTAGGCTCAGGTCCTCCTCAGGCTTTGCTTTTCCAATGGGTCTTCCCAGGCTTCCTTGCAAATGTGCACAGCCAAGTCCACCAGGAATGCAGCAGAGTTTGACCCTCTTGCGTCTCACAAGGGCATGTTGTAATGCAGACTTCAAGGCAGCCAGGGATATGGGAAGAGCTCATCCAGCCCCTCTACAGCTTTCTGATATCTAAGATCTCCCTATCATTTCTGCAACTTTAGGCTAACAGAGATAAGGCTTCCTCCATTCAATTCCCACAGAGTTTAATATTTTTACTGAAAGTACCACTTGGCATGAGCTGGGGCTGTAACTTAGTGTTAGAACACTTGCTTAGCGTGCTTGGGGTCCATCCCCAGCGCCCCTCCACACACACCCCAAACACTTGGACAGGTTTTTTGCCCCCTATTCTAAATCAAGTCAGTTTTTTCCAGCAGCAGCAGTAAAGCTGCTGGTTTTCACAGACAGCCCTGCAAGAAGGGCACTACTTCATTATCTGTGTTGGTCGGGAAGAAGAGAGATTTGAGCAGCCATAGATAAGAACGCCAGTCTCGATTTTCTTGTCTGAAGGTCACCATTTTTTTATGGTTTGTCAGGTACAGTCAATTTCCAAAGCCCTGTGTGTGTGAGGGGGGAGTGTTGCTTTTTTGTTGTTGTTTGATTTTTTATTTTGTTTGGTTTAGTTTTTTTGTTGTTGTTGTTTTTTGTTTTTGTTCTTATTTGTTTGTTTGTTTTTTGAGGAACTATCTCACTTGGTAGTTCAGGCTGGCCCTGAATACAGCGCAGGTCAGCCTGGAACTCACAGCAATCCTGCTGCCCCAGCCCGTTCCCCACCCCCTAGTGCTGGGATTACAGGTATGTGCCACCATGCCCTGCTAAATTCCTTTACTGTCTTTTTGGTTTTTTGTACCGGGGATTGAACTCAGGCCTTGTGCTTGCGAGGCAGGCAGGCAGAAACAATGAGCTAAATCCCCGGCCTTTACTGTTCTTTTAAGATGCTCTACACACACACCTTTATTGTTTGCACCCAGAATGGGCTACTTCTACTGCCTTGTTCTTAATATGCTATGACTTCCTTAGAAAAAGTGGTTCTCAAAGCATGATCCCGAGGCCACCAGCTTCCATGTTCCTGGGAATTTGTTAGATGTGAACATTCTTGGCTCTGCCCAAGGCCTACTCAGTCATCCAGGAGGAAAGCCCCGACATTAATGTTTAAAAAAGCTCTGGATGATTCTGATGCAGGCTCAAATTTCAGGACCACTGCCTTAGGATATGGAACCATTCACACCTGGGAGACAGCAGTTCAGGGCACTGGTGAATGCCGTGCTGTAAGATGAGAATGTGAGGCCAGAAATGCTGCCTCCAGCTCTAGGCTCTGGCAGACTTGGACATCTCTACCTCCTTCTGCCAGTGGAGAAATGTGTCCCTGGCTGGCAGTTAGAATGTTTCAGCTTCTAGGCCTCAGTCTCCATGGTACTAACACTGACTTAGTTACAAATTAAAAAAAAAACAAAAAAAAACTCCCAGAGACTGGGTTGCCAAGAGCAATAGGCTTCAATTTGGTTTGTTCTTTTCTTTGGCGAGCCCACTGCTGTGCAGCCCTTGGCACCTGAGTCACCACACTCATGCTTTCTACTCCTCCCTGGGCTGTTGCTCTGCATAAATGCACCTCCAATGTTGGCAGCCCACGGCCTGTGATTCAGCCTCTGTGGGGGAGGCCAAAGCACCCAATGTGCTAAGAATAGAATTTTCCATTTCGACTTTATTTGAAAGAAGCTTTTCTCTGCTTCATTCATCAGATATTAAAACTCTACTAAATGCCAAGGCAATGCACAGTGGGCTGGAGTTACAGGGGTTAAAAAAAAAATGACATAGTCCCTGCTCTCAAATACTTTTTCTTTGGAAGAAGAGAAGAGGATATAACAAGCAAATACAAATATAGATTGTGCTAAGTGCAATTGTGTTGTCTAAATGCTCCCTGAAGAAATAAAGAAGATGATGCGTCCCACTCTCCCATTCCGTTCATCCACCTAAAGCTCTCTATAGATGAGAATTTCCAAACATTAGTGAACAGACGAGTCCTTCCTGTTGTATTCGGGGGTCTCCTTCCTGTCCTGAGTGATCACTGATGTCATGTGCTAATGTTCCTAGAGCACTTATGTGAGATAGCATGGTATACAGTAATTTTTACTGTTCTGATATTCATATCATCTGAATCAGTCACTTCTGGGAATCTTTTTAAGGGAGGTAATGTGGTCCTTCGAGAAAGGCTAAAGATGGTTACCATAGCTCTGCATATTCCATAAATAAATTGAATTATTATTCTGCTAATATGAGAAAATTGCTTGACTTCACTGGGTGTCATGCATAAAATAGGGTGCTACTCTGTACCTCAAAAAGCTTACTTGATACTGGACATAAACTAAATATCTATGGAAATACTCCTAAGTCCTGACATTGAGTGTTCTGAATAGTTTACTTACCTCTCCTTCCTAACTGTGCTGCATTTTTATATACACACGAATATATATGAGGATTTATATAGCCTCTACATTAGCACCACTCCTCCAACATGGGTTGAATTTGATCAGAAGCTCTTGCTTCTTCTCCTCTTCCCCTAGCGTTCTGAGTGATGCCATTGGGATGTTAAATTGTAAGTGTCCTGATCTTGACCACCAATCAGTATCCTTTCCTGAGTGCTAACCCACTGCCTCTCCTTTTTCCCAAGCACCCCAGCCTGTGGCCCACAAGCAGGGGCAGGAGCCCCTGTCCACCTCCATGCTGTCCACAGTGCTTGCCGTGAACAGAGCAGAAGCTGGGTGAGTGCTTCATGTGCCTCCAGGAGAAGAGGGGCCTAAACCTGGGGCCCAGGGTCCATTCTTCTGTGGGACTTGATTTGGCTTTTTATCAACTGTCCTGCTCACGGGAGAAGGTTTGCTCTTTCATGCAAATAATGTGTTTGAACCTGGCTAGAAAGATCATGGGAATCTGCTGCAGATGGGCAACGCCCCGCTTGTGAACGCTGCTGGAGTCCCCAGGTCTTTCCACTCCAAAGTGAGCTGCTTCTCAGACCCTCAATTTGGAAGGTAGAAGGGGTGACCTTGGATATTCAGGTGCAGTCAAGAGAAAGGTTGCCTTTGTGACTTCACTGTCATTTGAAGTTAATAAGGAGAAAAGAGGGAATGCAAATTATTAAGGGCAAACAACAGTTTCTCACTGTTTTTTTTTTAAATGATGCCAATCAATTCTGCAATTCTATGACACAAACTGGTGTCCAACTATTCCATCCAACTCAATTCTGAGCTAATACAGATCCTGCTGCTTAAGGGCTTAGCCCACAAGGGAGTTCAGATTCTCCACTTCCACCACTCATGCCCTGTCTTTCATTCCCTGCGTGTGCATTAGCTGCCTGTTCTTGAATTATTTTCTCTGCTTTCCCCTCTCTCTAACCTTTTTTCCTTTGTTTCATTTTAAACATCACTTCTGGGAAGTCTTGATACCCTGCTCTATCTAAAATAGAGGGCCTCATTATTTCCTACCACTTATGTCAGTCTGGGATTTATGTATTAGTTGGTTTGCTCACGGGTAAGCACTCTTTTTCTGAAGGGTCCCATGGTGACTATCTAGGCTTTGCAGGCCATAGGTCTCCCTTGTAGCATGAAGCAGCCACGGATAATAGTACCTAAAGGAATGACCATGGCTGTGTTCCGATGAAACTCTAGGGCACTGAAATTTTAATTTCAAATAATTTTATGTGTTACGAAGTATTATTGTTTTTATTCTTCCCCCCCAATATTTCATTCTTAGCTCCTGTGTTGTCAAAAAACAGGCGGTGGCGGGTGGCCCTTGAGTCATAGTTTATTTGTAGTTGATCATTTGCTGATAATATTCCTGGTGTTTAGACCAAGGTTTGACTCCTATAATACCGCCGGCACTGGGAGGGCCACGTTCACGCCTGTCCATAATCACCCGGCACCTCTTAAGGCGTGGAAGGAACGGCGAAAGCAGAAAAGCGGACGACTATGGCGGGAGTGGGCGGGGTCCGCCGGCGATTTTTGAATGGGCGGAGTCAGGAGGGGGCGGAGCGGAAGGGTGGGTCTAACGCCAGCTTCCGGCGGAAACGCGCGGGAGCGAGATGGCCACTACCAAACGCGTGCTGTACGTGGGTGAGCAGGCGCGGGATCTTGAAAGAGTCTGAGTGAACCGGTCCCTAGTGGGTCGGGCGTGCGGAGGGACACGTCTCTGGGCGGGCTAGGCGGGTAGCAGCTGTGAGGCCGGGTCTATGGCAGTACTGCTTTGCCTCGCTACAGGAGCCCGAGACGCAGCGGCCCTTCCGGCTTCAGTCCTAGTCCGCTAAGGTCCACCAGGGCCAGCAGAAGTCGTAGAGGAATATTATGGCCTCCCAAAAACTCGCACCCAGCCATTTTATATACTTCAGTGCAGCAGTGGCTCAGCCCCTGCACCAGCTCCTGTCTTAGGAGTTCCTATACTAGCCAGTGGGAATGTCTATCACTGATAAGCGCTGTGGTGGGGACGGACGAGAATTACAGGGGTTTGGGTGCGGGACGAAACGACCTATCTGGAGAAGTGAAAACAAATTTTGCAGATGCAGTGACACTGGAACTGATGAGCAGAAGTTAGCCAGGAAGCCAAGTGGAGGCAGAGCTGTTTACTGCCGCAGAAGCAGAAGCCCAAAAGTGTTAAAAACTGACACTTGGGGACAAGTGAGTCGTTTTTCAGGAAACCCAGGGAATTAGGGAGAATAAGGTGAAAGATGCAGGGGAGGTGGGCAAGGCTTTGTACACAGCAAGGAACGTTGTGTACGTGGTTAAGGAGTTTGCACTTTGTCTTAGAGACGTTGAGAAACCTTTGAAAGAGTTTAAGCGGGATCGTGGGTTCAGATTTCCCAAGATCTCTCTGATTTTCTTTGTGGAGCTGGCAGAGAGATAGTTATGACGCTATTGAAGGAGTTCTGGAGGTAAGGGCCTGAAAGAAGGATAAAGAGAGAAATTAGCTTCATATGTGTGGGGTAGGCAGTAGGTGAGAGATGTCTGTGACCAAAAGACCAGGTGAAAAGATCCCTTCCCTTGGCCTGCATGCTGACTGCTTGTAGGGACTTCTGCAAGAGTATTGAGGACAGTGGCTCAGAAGGCTCTTGACACACTTGCAGGTGGGCTGGCAGAAGAGGTGGACGACAAAGTTCTTCATGCTGCTTTTATTCCTTTTGGAGACATCACAGATATTCAGATTCCTCTGGATTATGAAACAGGTGAGTTTTGGTGTGTGTCACATCCAGAACTTGCCTACCAAGAAAAGAACTTTTAAAAAAAAATTAAAGTCACATAACAGTTCTGAATACACATGCTCAGGCTGGGAGTGTATCTCAGTGGTAGAGTATGCTTGCCTAGGACGTGCAAGGCCCTGGGAGTGATCTTCAGCACAATAAATAAAAACACACTGTAAATATGGTTGGTGTATAGGATCAGAGTCTGCTTCTCTAGGTCAGCATGATTGATCTTGATGCAGAACTGCATCTTCTGTTCTGAAGCTGTGTGGTAGTGCGCTGTAAATACTTAGCAGAGTCTCATTTTCTGGATTTGAAATAAGTCACCGTTTTCATTATATCAACAGGAATGAACTGCATTGAGATCTGTGTGTTGTCAAACTACTTTCTGGGTTCACCTCCTCTCTTGGCAGGTGTGCTAATAAATGGGGCAGCAGGAAATCTGGCCTTACATTGAGGCTTTGGCCTTTGTACACATGGGTGACTGTTCCTTCAACTGGCATAATGGTTGTAGTTCAGTTTTCTAGTGTATCTTTATTGTAATCTAAGATTAGAGTGTTAGCCCCAGCTCTAGTGACCTTGCGCTTGTCTGTTAACAAAGTCTTTAAATTCTATGGGCCTGGGGAATCCATTTGCAGAAACAATAAGGCTGTGTTAGCTTTTTTTAGGATCTTTCTAGTCTCTGAATTCTGTCATTAAATTAACACTGTTGTGTTTGGCTTTTAGTTAGATCAGCGTTTGCCTAAAAACTGAACATCCTATATGGTTTTACAATTCATGCATTTTGTCTAGTTGATGTTTAAATTGTAATATGGATGAAAAATTGGTAGGTTAAAATGACTTAATTTTTCTAGCTTTCACTAGGTATGTCCACTAAATAGATTTATTATTGTTTAAGAAAAATCAAAGAGTAAGATTCTTACTGACTGGGTGGAATTTCTGGTATCTGGATATGACATATAATTGACTTTCTTTGTGACCATTCTGTTTGTTTTCATTGCTCCCTACATGGTAATTACTTATCTTTTGTGTTCTCTCTCTCTCTCCCTCCCTCTCTCTCCCTTCCTCCCTCTCTCTCTCTCTCTCTCTCTCTCTCTCTCTTGCAGAAAAGCACCGAGGATTTGCTTTCGTTGAGTTTGAGTTGGCAGAGGTGAGAAAACTCTGTGCTACTTGTGTATAGTCTTTGGTTTATATTATCTAATTATTACTAATTATAAAAGAAGCTGTCGGGGATTTAGCTCAGTGGTTCCGCCACCTGTCTTATAAAAGAAGCTGTCATGTTTTTGGTTAAATGTCCTGGCCTTAGATTAATGATTCCAGAGAGATCTAAAGTGCTGTTTGAAAGAAAGCTCCTCTCACTTAATCAGACTATGGACTGTGAATAATGAATGGCTCAAACCTTTTGCCAGGCCCCGTGCCTCTTTCTCTGCACAGCTCTCCTATTACCCTATTCAGTGAGCATTCTTGGCCTGACATTCTTGTGCCTTCAGCTAGATGACACAGTGTAGCCCCACCAATTTAAAAGCCAGTCATGAAGTGGTCTTTGTTAGACTCACATACATTCTAGGCAAGATGTACAGGTGTGATTTTTTTCCGTTTGATTCTTTATGTGTGTGTGTGTGTGTGTGTGTGTGTGTGTGTTTAGACACACAAAAAAACTTTCAGCTGCAAACCTAAATGTATACCTTGTCTTTCCTTGCAGGACGCTGCAGCAGCTATTGACAACATGGTATGGCTGGGACTCTCATTCTAACTGAAGTTTCTTGTCAGTGGTACAGAGGTCTTTGTTCATATATTGGTTTCCTAAAGCCCCTAAGTGTCATGTTGTGTAGGGAAGTAAAAATTACGTCCTGTGAAAATATTCACTGTCAATTAATTGAGCACTTGTAAAATGAGTCCTTATTCAGATCTCTTTCCTCACTTAACAATAATGTATGTTGTGGTCATCCTTATTGGCCTCTTCTGGCTTCCTGATGTCTAGGACAATAAATTATAAACACAATATAAACTGATTGCACTGAAACTGCTTATTTTGCAGAAGAGGCAGGATTTCATCAAGTGTTCAACCAGTTAACAATTGAGAAGAGAAATTCAGTAAGGATAATAACAGGGTGTGCTACTGGTGCAGGTGATTTGAATACCCTGGGAAAGTCCTAAGAAAAATATGATGGTGCTCTTCAGTATTTTTGCCCTCCTTGACATCCTTATAGGCAATTTTCATGTTGGGTACAAAGTGCATACTTTTGGTAGGATTTTGTTGGAAAAAATACCTCAAACTAATCAGCTTCTGTTATGTTTGTATTACCAATCAATGCATAGTTCATCCTGAACATTAACTTTAAGAAACTTATATTTTCATTATTTCTAGTTGCATCACAAAGTCACAGTCCAAAGGAAAAAATTTCTTTTTTTTACTTTTTGCCTTGAAATCTTCCTTACTGCCCTAAGTGGATTCACATTAAGTGACCTTTCCCAATACAAGTGACCTTTGGATAATGAAGTTCTCCTTTATTTCCTGGTCTGTATTACTCATTCACCAACTACATTCTTTAGCTGTCAGAGACGAATCATTTTTCACCATTGCAGAGCTGATATTGACTTTGCATTTATCCTTATAATTTCATTCCCCAGAGCCTAGAGTTCCTTTTGGTAGCACAAGTCTTTGCTGGTATTGAAGAAAGGAAGTATGTGACAGCTTCACCCTCCCTTAATGGGTTCTTACTGGTGGGGGGCATAACTTGCTCCTAGGTGTTCAGAGATTAAGGGAGGAAAAATCATGAACATGTCTTAGAAATAAATGCAGAGCTCTCTGGCTCTCTCTCTTAATCCAACAGAATTTAAGCAGCTGGATTTTCAATCTTTTCAGAATGAATCTGAGCTCTTTGGACGGACAATTCGTGTCAATTTGGCCAAACCAATGAGAATTAAAGAGGGCTCTTCCAGACCAGGTGAGCAGGAGCTACTCCTGTTTGGCCTTTGTTGCATTTTATCTGCATTTTCTTGGAAGTCAGTGCTGAATGCTGCCTTCCTGAAGTAGGGAGTGGAGTGGAGTGGAGTGGAGGATGGTTCACAATGGCAAAGGGCATATAGCACCTTTATGTGGAAACAGTAATTGTTTCTTTTTGAGAAATCTTGCCTGGTCTTTTCCTAGTTTTCTCAGAACTCAATTCTGGAGTGCCCCATCAAGGGCTGGAACCAGCAAAGGCATATCTTTGCCTTTGGCATAATTTTTTTTAACTTAGTTCTTTTAAGAGCTCAAGTGGGAACTTTCCTTACCTTTGGGAGTTCACAAAAGGGGCTCCTCTGGCTGAGAGGGATTTTTCCATCTTGCTTGACCAAAGTAGCTACTTGGCAGTTGGCCAATGGCTTGATTTTTTTTTTTTTTCTTTATTTGATACAGGGGATCAAATGCACGACCTTGCACTTGCAAGGCGGGTGTGATGCCACTGAGCTAAATCCCCAGCCCTGGCTTGATTTTCTTGACATTAGTTTGATTCTTTTCCTTCAGTTTGGTCAGATGATGACTGGTTGAAGAAATTTTCTGGAAAGACGCTTGAAGAGAATAAAGAGGAAGAAGGGGCAGAGACTCCCAAGGCAGAAACCCAGGAGGTGAGGACTACATTTGTTCATCAACACTTTGGATAAGGCAGTGTTGAACTTGAACTTTGGGTCTCCCATACTGTGCCACAGATTCGCAATTCCAGCTGAGGGGAAGGAGGGTTCTCCTCCTCACCCTGCCTGGCAGCCACTCTTGCACTGAGGAGTCTGGCACCAGGCTGTTTCCTCCTGTTTCTGCCATATTGCAGGGCAGACCAGGGTAGTGAACCTTCTCTTCAGCCAGTGTGGGTCAGGCTTCTCCCCTGCTAGGAGAGCCCTCCCCTGTCACTTCCCCTGGTTCTCACACACCTCCTGGACTAGTGCTCCTTGAGCTTCCCCTCTGTGTCCTTGTGAGCCTCATCAGTATTTTGTGGTTGCCTTTGGCTTGTCTCTTGTAGCTGAAATGGTAACAGTCTCTGAGAGTATGCAGTGCTCCTATGCTGTTGACTTTTGTATTCTGTGTGTCTAATGTTAAGCTTCAGATAGTTCACCCTGCATGTCTCACAGGTGGCTTAAAATGGACCTCCTTTCCTTTCTCTAGTCATGTCTTTCTGTGTTCTCACTCTTGGTTACCTTCTAGCCACTACTGACCCAAGCCAGAAAGTTAGATGCAAGCAGAATTCCTAAAGTGGCCCTCACAGTCAGTGAAATCACACTAGGTCATTCTCAGCCCTCTTTTAAAATAAAGCCATCACATCCAGGTGGGTCTTACCAACTTGGAGCCACAAGGCACTAGCCTCCTGCATTGTTCTCTGAGCATTTAGGCCCAAGCGAGACAGTTCCCCGTTTTCATGTGCTGGCCTGCTGTAGAGCCGGCTGGGGTTGGAGGGAAGAGCTGGTGGGACATGAGTGGGTCCACTAACTGGAATTGCTGTGTGGGCTCAAGCTGGGGGCTAAGGGTGAGCTGTGTACTGTGGGCCCGCTGCAGGGCAAGGTAAGCACGTGAGCGTGTCTCAGGATGAGCCGGGCACTCTGGGCTTTTCCCTCCTGCAGCCCTGCCGAGGCTGATACCTTCCCTTCAACACCTTTGTCCAGCCTGCTCACTGGAGTTGTGTCCTAGGTATGTGCAGAACACTACTTGCGCTCCTGCCTTCCTGGAGAGTCAAAGAGTTGTTTCCAACTAATGGTTTCCTTGGCACCTAGGGAGAGCCCCCTGCAAAAAAGGCCCGGTCAAATCCTCAGGTGTACATGGACATCAAGATTGGGAACAAGCCGGCTGGCCGTATCCAGATGCTCCTGCGTTCCGACGTCGTGCCCATGACAGCTGGTGAGCAGGACCCTGCTGCGGTCAGGATGGTGGGAGAAGGTGGCTAAGTAGCAGCCTTCCCAAGGTTCTTGCTGCCTCAGTTCTTATGCCTTTGACAGAGTCAGCTTCACAAAGTTTGTTTTAATAAAAACAGATTCCCCTGTGATAAATGTAATCATTATGTATGGCAGACACGCTCCCCTCAAAAACCCAGCACTCCCCTGGTGCTGTCCCCTTACGCTGCCTCATCACTGAGTACCAACACCACTTGTTACTCCTCAGAGACAACTGATTTCAGCTATTATCCAGTTCTTTTGATTTTTTTACTTCCATATGGGTATATGCTTTGTAGTTCTACTTTGTGTTGTTTGTGTTTTCATTTTAGACATTATCCTTTGACTTTCTGTTTCAGGAATTCACTCCCACCCCCCCCCTTACTAGGAATTAAAGAGGGACTCACTAGAAGTTGCCCAGGTGGAACTCAAACTTGTAATCCTCCTGCCTCAGTGTGTCCCACCTGCCTCTGCTCCCTGCTAAGGAATTAACTTTTTCAAATCCCCTTCAGTACCCACTTCCTGATTCATGCCCAGTCTTCTGATTCTTCCCCACACTGGAGGCTCTCCAGCTGTTTGCCGTCTTGGTGAGGAGACAGAAGGTTCAGTGTATCAACTTTCACTTCCCTTGTCATGATGATTCCTCAGCCCTCCCTATGTGTAGGGTGTTCTAATCCAGAGACCTTCTGCTTTAACACACTAGGCTGAGCCTCCAGCTGAGTGCTAGGGCAGTGGAGGGGTGGCCCTGACCTGCAGGGTCAGGGAAGAACTCGTGAGTTAACTGCTTTCTTAAACAGGGTTCATCCAGGTTGCTGTTTTTAGAATTACCATCATACTTGTATGTGAGTGTTGGGATAGAAACTGATTTATTTTTTGAGATTGAGCTTTCTCAGGTCTGCTGTATCAGCTACGACTTACCTGTTTTGTTTTCTAGCTTTCAAAATTTTTATTGCTATTGTCTCCCACTTCCTTTTTTTTTTGTGCTACTGAGACTCAAACTCTGGGTACTCCCAGAGGAGTCCCAGTGGCGATACAACCTGAGCCTTTTTTATTTTGTGACAGTCTTGCTAAGTTGTCCAGGCAGAACTTGAAGCTACAATCCTCCTGCCTCAGCCTCCCAAAGATCTGGGATTACAGGCATGTGCCACCACTTCCCCACTTCCCCACTTCTCTCTGTTTTTTACTTACCCATTTATTTTGGGTCACACTCACCATTTTTAAATGTACCATTAACCTCATTCCTGCCAGCAATGTGTGAAGTTCCCAAATTTCTCCATCTTCTCCACCACTTGTGAAGTGGTATCTCATTGTGGTTTTGATTTCCGCTTCCCTAATGACTAATGTTGTTGAGCATCTTTTTGTGAATTTGTTGGCCACTTGTGTATCTTTGTCAACTCTTTGGTCCATTTATTAGTTGGATCATTTGTCTTTTTGTTGGTTTGGGGTTTTGTGTTTTTTTTGTTGTTGTTGTTGTTGTTGTTTTGAGACAAGGTCTTGCTATATATTCCAGGCTGGCCTCAAACTCATGGCGATCTTCCTGCCTCAGCCTCCCAACTGCTGGGATTAACAGGAGTGCATCATCACACCCAGCTTTGTTGTTGAATTACAGGAATTTATTATATATCTGGAGATTAAACCCTTATTGAATATAGTTTTACATATTTTCTCCCAATGAAAGGGTTACCTTTCGTTATCAATAGTGTCCTTTGTACAAAAAAAGTTTTAATTTTGATGAAGTCTACTTTATTTTTCTTTTGTTACCTATGCCTTCGGGGTCGTGTTTAAGCAATTGTCACCAAAGCCAAAGTTGTAAAGATTTGCTTTATGTTTTCTTCTAAGATCCTTTGGGTTTCCTCTTCTTAAAAATTACCTTACCATCAACTTAGTGTGGTTTGGGGAGGCAGCAGAGCTGGGGTGCATGTAGTGTATACAGTCCTCCTTTAAAGATAATGCCCTGTCATCCTTCAAGAAGTCAGTATTGCATAGGTTTATAATGAAATTTTCTTACTTGAAAATGGAAACACAGTTGCCCCTCCGCATCCAGGGATTCCACATCTCTGGATTCATCCAGTCACAGCTCAGAAATTATTTGAGGGAAAAATTCAGTACACCTGTGCTAAATCTTTTTGTTTGTTTGTTTGTTTGTTTTTTGCTGTTGTTTTTTGAGGCAAGGTCTTTCTGTGTTGTCCAGACTGGCCTTGAACTGACAACGATCCTGCTTCAGCCTCCTGAGTGCTGGGATTACCAGTGTGCACCACCACACCTATCCTGTGCTGAATATGTTCAGACATTTTTTTTTTCTTACCATTATTCCCTACAAAATACAGTATACCAACTACTCACATAGCATTTTCATTGTGTTGGGTATTAGAAGTTATCTAGAGATGATTTAAAGTATATAGGGTAGCCGGGCCTGGTGGCGCTTGCCTGTAATCCGAGCACTCGGGAGGCTGAGACAGGAGGATCGCTGTGAGTTCACAACCAGCCTGGACTACATAATGAGTTCCAGGTCAGTCTCAACTACATAGTGAGACCCTGTCTCAAAAAAACAAAACAAAAAATAAATAAATAAATAAAATATGTAGGGTAAGCTGGGCATGGTGGCACACACCTGTAATCCCAGGTCTCGGGAGGCTGAGGCAGGAGGATCACTGTGAGTTTAAGACCAGCCTGGGCTACATAATGAGTTCCAGGTCAGCCTCAACTACATAGTGAGACCCTGCCTCAAAAAAAAAAAAGTATGTAGGGGAACACTGGGCATGATGGCATACAGCTGTAACCCCAGCATATGGGAGACTGAGGCAGGAGGACTGCTGTATGTTGGAGGACAGACTGGGCTACGTAGTGAGTTTGAGGCCAGCCTGAAGTATATAGGGAGACCCTGTCTCAACACCCCCTACACACACACACACACACACACACACAAACACACGCATGCATAGATTTTAGGGGACTTTTGAGTATGTGTATCCCCAGATTTTGGAATCTGCAGAGGTCCTAGGACCAATCCCACGTGAATACCAAAGCGTGAACATTTAAACATTAAAGCAAACATTTTAGAGGTTCGGTCTGGTTGTGTCTTCTAACCTTGGCACTTTGTCCTTTCTAACCCCCAGAGAATTTCCGCTGCCTGTGCACCCATGAAAAGGGCTATGGTTTCAAGGGAAGCAGCTTCCACCGCATCATCCCCCAGTTCATGTGCCAGGGTGGGGATTTCACAAACCACAATGGCACTGGCGGCAAGTCTATCTACGGGAAGAAGTTTGATGATGAAAACTTTATCCTCAAACACACAGGACCAGGTCAGAGATGATGGGGTGTGGGGACGGGAGGCTGCCGGGGTGGAGGACAGCCGTGGTTCTGGTAGTGGGTAGGGCCTAGGGAAGACTCTGGATGACCCCACCTGCTTGCCCTCGCTCACCGGGGTGCCCCACCTCTGTTAGCCTGGCTTCAGCTCTGTGATCTGCTGTCATGAGCTCTCTCTCAGGCCCTGAACCCCTTTGTTTCTCCCCTGCCTTCTCAGACTTGCCTAGGGAAATCTCAGTGGTTATCAGTGGTTGGTCCCCCTGCAACTAGAGAAAAACAGAATTGTACTGAGTGATCCTCTGAGCATTTTTTTTTTTTTTTTTGGTACCAGGGATCGAACTCAGGTCCTTGCACTTGCAAGGCAGGCCACCGAAACTCTGAGCTAAATCCCCAGCCCTGTGAGCTTTGACTATACTTCTCATCTAGCTGGTGCTCAGTCCCATCAGAGATGATAGCTCCATGCCTTTCTCTACTCCTGAGGCCTCTCGAACACCCTTTGGTTTTGCCCGATGCCTGCCGCTTACCTCTCTCCACACTTGCATGCTCTGACTGCCCTGGGCACAGAGAACAGCACTGTGCTGTGGGCTCTACCCCGTCCTTCTCCTGGACTTAGGGACTCAGCTTCTGCTGATGTCTCTCTCTGCCTTCTGTCATCCAGTTCCCCTGGTCTACCAGGTCAGTCTTTTCAGCTTATTTATTTTGTTTTGTTTTTTTGAGAGAGGTTTTACTCTGTAGCCCAGGCTGGCCTCAAACTCAAGGCACTCTCCTGCCTCAGCCTCCCAAGTGTTGGGATTATAGACCTGTGCCACCACACTTGGCAATGCCAGTCTTTTGAAAAAGCATCCTTGGGAGCTGGGATGCAGTGGCACACAAGCCTGTAAGCCCAAGTACTCTGGAGCTGAGGCAGAAAAATAGGAAGTTCAAGCCCAGCCTGAGCAAGTTAGTGTGGTCTTACCTCAAATTAAAGAATAAAAAGGGCTGGGGGAACCCCTGGGCTTAATACCTAGTACCGCACAAAACAAAAATGATCTTTCTCCAAAGTAACTGGTAAAAATTTATTAGGTGGCCCTGGTCACACATGCCTGTAATCCCAGCACTTGGGAGGCTGAGACAGAACAGTTGCCATGAGTTCAAATTCAGCCTGGGCTACATAGTGAGACCTTGGCTCAAAACAAATTTTAGAAAGGCATCCTTGGACTTAATTCTCCCATAGCTGTCACCCAAGTTTCTGGTCTACTTTTTTTTTTTTTTTTTTTTTTTTTTTTTTTTTTTTAAAGCAATACTAAGGATCTACATTCTTGTCTTTTTTTACTGTATTTAGATGCTTAGGCTAACCTCAAACATGTGGTCCTCTTCCTTCAGCCTCCTGAGTAGATAGTATTAAAAGCACGTGCCATTATGCCTGCTGCTGATCTGTTTTTTAGTAAATCTTGAAAAAGTTCAGACTCATGGGCATGATGCCACATGCCTGTAATCCCAATACTCAGGAGGCTGAGGCAGGAGGTTTGTTGCAAGTTTGAGGCCAGCCTGGGCTACATAATGAATTTAAGACAAGCCTGAACTAATAGTAAGACCCTGTCTTCGAATATAAGACAAAACAAAAGTTTAGACTATGCTTGAAACTGTATGGACTCATTGTCTTCATTCTCTCTAAACCTTTTTGGCCAGGCTTCTAGTCCTACCTCAAGTTGAAACCACATGTATCAAAGATGCCAACAGCTTCCAGCTTGCCAGTAACCATTTCTTGGCTTTCATCCTTTCCACCTCCTAGTTGCATTTTATACCATTATCCTGTGCTCCTTGAACCTGTCTTCACTTTGCTGGCTGGACTCCCCTCTTCTGGTTTCCTTTTACTTAACTGGCATTTTTTTCTGACTTTGCTGTCTCCTGTTTTCTGCACCCCTAAAATTTAAGTGGCTCAGAGCTCAGCCTTTTTTCTCCATAGAACTCTGCTCTCCTAGGCCTCTTTTTTCTGATAGTTTGTACTATTATTTTTTTACTATGCTGGACTGAACAGCATAGATGCTGTAGCTTACCTGCCCACAGTTATTTTAACTAATAGGAAAGAACATGAAAGTCAGTTATAAGAAAGAATGTATTTCTGGATGTACATGTGTAAGTACAGCTGTGCCAGCAGCCAGCAGGTGTGACTCAGATATGTGCACCTGTGCTCAGCTACACCAATTAGGAATGCAGACAGGTGTCTGCCAGCCACCAAGATGTGCTGGTGACAGGAGTCTGACACGATAGAGAAGGTGACTGCAGATTCCAAATGAATGGGTGATTTTCTGGTGATTTAATAGTTGTATTCCTAGAAGATTCTCTATGAAATAAAACAAAAACCCTCAGAAATGTTGGGATTGGACCTTAGGCACAGGTAATTAATTATCAACACACTTCTCACCTTCACCAGTACTAGCAGGGAGTGTGACAATTCCTCCTTGTGCAGGACATTGCGGAATAGATCGCTTTCGAGGCTCTGCTCACTAAATGACAGTAGCACTGTGCAGTGTGTCTGACAATCACAAACACAATTCAGTGTGTAAACAGCCCCTGGGGAAGTTCCAGCCTCACTTAGAGTTGCTGCTTTAGGGAATCATACTGAGTCCCAGGGCTTTCACCAAGATCTAAATTGAGTTTATTCGTATTTGAGTCTCCAGGCTGACTGCTCCTTACCTTCAGGGCTCCTGTCCAGCTGTCCACCTGTGGTCTTCATCGGGTACTCCCTGGGCCCTTCAAATGTCAGAAGGCCAAAATAACTTGCTTTTCTCCCCAGACTCTTCCTCTTTATCATCTTGTTTTTTTATTTTGTTTTTCCTCCTGGTACTGGGGATCAAACTGAGGACCTTACACTTGCCAGGCAGGCACAGCACCACTGAGCTACATCCCCAGCCTGTCTTTGCTGTTATGGTAAATGATGCCACTGCTGTTCAGAAACCGGGCTCACCTTTGACTCCTCTCCTGTGCCACCCGTAGAGCACAGTCATCTGTCTCTTCGTGTCATCTCCTGGGTCAGCTGCATGACACACTTGCAAACACATGCACGGTCCTGTGTGTGTCTTTTAATGACTTTTTTCCACTGGACTGAACTTTATTCTGATAGGACTGCTTTGTTCAGTGTCCCAGGGCTTAGTAGGGGCCTGATTATAAACGAATAACTGTTAAATGAAATGAATAAATGAAAGGATAGACCAGTGGGTATGATTAAAACAACTGTCTTCATCCTGTTTCACTGCCAACTGAAGGAAAGAAGAGAGGCCACACCCACAGGCCTGTTGCCCCGCCCCGGCCTGAGGCTGTGGCCTAGGGATGTGCAGTCTGCGCACACCTGCCCGCGAGGCTGGGAACAGGGTGGAGGAAGCTGATGGGGTTGCTTCTCCCAGGCCTCCTCTCCATGGCCAACTCTGGCCCGAACACGAACGGTTCCCAGTTCTTCCTGACCTGTGACAAGACAGACTGGCTGGACGGCAGGCATGTGGTGTTCGGGGAGGTCACCGAAGGCCTGGACGTCTTGCGGCAGATTGAGGTGGGTGGCGGGGCACAGCGCTGTGGGAGGGTGGGCAGGGCTGCTTCTGCCTGGTTGCAGCGGGTGGGTTTCCCCAGCCCCTTCCATCTCCTGTCCCTCACTCCCCTGACCCCGCCGCCTCCTCTTCCTCCCACAAAGGCCCAGGGCAGCAAGGACGGGAAGCCAAAGCAGAAGGTGATCGTTTCTGACTGTGGGGAGTATCTGTGAGGCGGCGCCACCCTGCACCCTCTCTCTCCTGCCTGGGTCTGAGCCGGCACCGAGGGTGTCTTGTGTGAAGCGGGCGGTGCTGGGTCTGAGCTCCTCCTCGGGACCACCCGGAGCAGCTCCTCTGCAGCACAGACTGGACTTGCTCTGGGCTTGTACTGGTGCACCGTGAGCCTGGGAGCCATGCAGGTGCCACCTTCCCCACCAGGGGCAGCTGACTGTGTCCACCGGCTTTCCCAGGCGGTGGTGCCAGGAACTACCCTGGCCCACCTAAGGACCCTGGACACTTTCTTTGCTCAAATAAATCCTGATTTTTAAATTGCTGCCTCCAGAGAGTTCCTGGGTGCTGTTAGAGATTGCATCTGTGGCTGAGCTGTTCCGAGGCAGGCTGACAAGTGGATGAGGCACACGTGATTGCCGTGGCTTTTCTTTCTTCCCTTGGGCTGATTCCCTTAGGTGCCAGGTGATACATCTTCATGCCGGATGTCTTTTGAGGCAATGTTGAGGTAATGGAAATGGAAGATAGTACAAATGTTCCTGTTTTCTGCTGTCTCTGGTGAGACAGCCTCTGCCAGTCTTGTAGCCAGCAAAAATACTGATTACCCTCAGTGGTCCATTTACTTTTATTCTATAGGTTTTTTAAATGATATTTTATAACTCAGAAGTGCCTTCTGTGTGCCAGATACTGTTTGTCAGAAGACAGATTAGCAAAATACATGGCCTAATCTAGCCCACTGCCTGTTTCTGTTTATTGGAACACAGCCAGATCCACTTGTTTACATATCTTCCATGGCTGCTTTCTCACTATAGCAGCAGAGCTGAATAGTTAGTGACAGACGCTGTATGGTCCCTGTATTTATCAAGAGAAACAGAACCAAAAGGATGGGTGCATGCAAAAGTATGTGGTGGGGGGGTGGCTGTTTTAAGGGATTGGCTCATGCAATGTGGGAACTGGCAAGTCTGAAATCCACAGGGCAGCCTACAGGCTGAAGACAGGAAGAAACTGGGTCTGCCGTTCAAAGGCAGTCTGGAAGTGAATCCTGATGAACTGTCTTTTTCTGACTTTCAATTCAATTGAGCCGGGCGTGGTGGTACATGCCTGTAATCCCAGCACTTGGGAGGCTGAGGCAGGAGGATCTCTGAATTCAAGACCAGCCTGAGCTACATAGTGAGTTCCAGGTCAGTCTCAACTACATAGAGTGAGACCCTGTCTCAAAAAACCAAAAGAAAAAAAAAAACAAACTTTCATTTGAGTAGATGAGGGCCCTCACCTCATGCATGGTAATCTGCCTTATTCTACTGATTTAACTATATTAATCCATTTTCTAAAATACCTTGACGGAATCCGCTGGTGTTTGACCAAAAACTGGGTACCATGGTCTAGGCAAGCTGACCCTGGGAAGCTTTCTCTACACAGCTCAGCCATCACAGCTCAGTCGCCAGTGTTAGTGTAGGCATTTGAGGCTGGGAACCATGGCACTGAGTTCAGGGAGTGCACAGGAAACGGGAGAGGCTGGGTTTGCCGAGATTAGAGAGCCAGCATGAATGAAGGCAGAGACTAGGACTGGGATCCCGGGGTCAGGCTGCAGCTGCTGGTGTTTCCAGCAGTGAGGTAGCAGCTTCTGGACACTGCTGCATCTGTCACAGCCTCACGGCAGCCCTCTGAGGAAGGAGCTGGGACAGGCAACTTAGCGGTGGAAATGGAATTTCACACCAGCGTTCAGGTGATGAGAGACTGAAGAACCTTGTTTTCAAAAACTAAGAAATTTGGACTGATAAAGTGAAAAAGGTCACAAAGCAATTTATATAGTACAGTATGGTAAAACTATAAGTAAAAAGGTATATGTATTTTAAGAAAAAAAAAACTAGAAATAAAGTGACCAAAATATTAAAGGTGTATTTATCGGAGTCATGGGACTATGGTGATTTGAATTGTATTTTATTTTTGTACTGTCCACATTCCTCCAAACCTGCATTTTTTTTTTTAATAAAGGAAAAAAATTTCTGAAAATGAGTCAAATGCTTGCATAAAGCCTCACATAACCGGTCAGACCCTGGATGGCCAGTTCCCACATCCAAATTACCACATGAGTGTGGACGTGGACAGCCGTCAGCACGCTGTGGGGTCCCAGTGTCTCTGGAAACCCAAGAGTGCAGTTTCACAGCCTGCCCATCCCTCCTTGCCAGACACTTGCCAGGCCTTTAAAGGTGGTGAGAATATAAAGTCCTCCCCTCCAAGGAAAGCTGGGTTTGATTTTTTAGGAAAAAGTACAGCCTTAAATACATCACTTGTGAAACATATTTTGGTTTAATGAGCAGGCACAGAGGTGGTTCTAAATGAGCAAATCTTGCAGTGATGACCACAGGTGATGACACATTTAGTGTGTATAGTACCTGTATAGGAAGGGAGAACCAATATCCTGCTTTATGGCGGAAAAAGCAGAACTTGGATTCAAATCTATTTGCTCCCCAAAATCAGTACTCTTGTTATACTTCTTTTCCTTAGGTTTTTTTTTTTTTTTTTTTTTTTTTTTTTTTTTTTTTTTTTTTGTCTTTTTCTTTTTTTTCTGGTACCAGGGATCGAACTCAGGACCTTGCACTTGCCAGGTACGCACGTGTGGTACCACTGAGTTACATCCTGTCTTCCTTAGAAGTTTTTCGGGAACACGTTTCTTTTTTACCTTCGAAGTGAACCCTGATCCTCTGATGACGTGGCCCAAGGTCAGTCTTGCAGTGGCAGGCACTTCTATTTTTGTGTCTTCCTGTCAACTGTCAGTGATACGAACTGTCCACTCATGTAACTTAGTCTAGTGCAACCACATAAATAGACTGTCCTGAGCAAGGAAGGGGCAAACAGTGCTATCTGTGTTGCTGGGTGGGCTGCCTGTTGCAGCTGCCATGCTTGGCTCAGCGAATTTCAGTCCTGCAGTAAGAGGTACCGACTTTGTGTCCATGCACAACTGTTTCACTACTTGCGGGCTTTTCCATTTGATTTACCAATTCTGTATGGCAAAAATCAGCAGGACTCTGATGGCAAGATCGATAGATGATGCCTTGTTTTTCATTTATTCTGAATGAGGACAGCAGTCGCTATCCATTCCTGCTGTACAGTTTGATAAGGTGTAGTCCATGCCTACAAACCTTTGGGTCCCTGGTGCCCCCCATATGATGCACCAAAGTAACTAGAAGTAAACAGTCAGTTGTTGGGTCAGGCATTTAGCTCAGTGGCACTGCGCCTGCCTCAAAAGTACAAGTTGTCCTGAGTTAGATCCCAGTACTGAAAAAAAATTTGGCTCTGACCTAAAAGACAATCCTTGATGAGAAGAAGTGTTAGACAAGTACTAGAATAGCAAACAGGTCTTTCGTTATCTGCCAACTAACTGAGCCAGCTGGGGTCCACATTCAAGGCCATAAGGCTGCATCTGGGCCCATTGTGATGAAGGATGGGTGACAGATGCCCCAGCTTGAAGGCCCTTTGGAAATCAAAAAGTCCAACTCCCTGATATTACAGAGGGAAAACAGGACCAGATCAAGTCAGGTCTCCTTAATCCAGGCCATAGCTAGATCTCCACCCTAAGGCACCCCTAACTGATGGGGAAACTTCCAGGCTGCCACCTTTGCATACACGGGAGGGTGCCTTCTTCTGCACTCCCACAGGGAGGCCCTCCTTGGTCCCAATGGATGGGCCCAGCCTCTCCCCTACAGCCACACCTGCCTTCCCTGAGACCCATCCTCAGGGCACAAAGCGTGAACTCCAGCGATGTGTATCTCAGGGCTCATGGGTGGGTCCACTGGGGGTGGGTGTGGACAGGGGCAGGGCCAGGACCTGCTCTTAATGACAGTGCAGGCAGCTGGACTCTGTTTCAGCAGGTAAATTATAGGCTCAGCCAGTTTGAAATAAAATAAACTCCAACTCCCAGTGGCTGCTCCAAGAAGAACAGCGGTTTTGGGAACTGTGAGGCTGAAACAAAGCTCCTCACCCAACCCAGCCGATTACCACTTGTCACGCCCCTGGGGCAGGGGCCTTTTCTTTGACTCACAGGTGCAAGAAACAGGACAGGGCTGCTGGGCATCCAGGATGACACAAACTTTGGTGATCAACCCATTTTTGACAACTGGACACCAGCTGGTGCTGACAAGCTGCTGGCCTTGTCCCAGATCTGGTCACAGGCTGCCTGGTGTCGACATATTGCTGTGGGAACACAGGTTGCTCTTTTGCACTGCAGAAGATGGCAAACAGTTCTCGCTTCATATGCCAACTTTGGAGTCCTGAGATTCCTGCCTGGAGTCCTGGAAATTCTGCCCAGACTCAGATAAACAAATCAGGAGTGATTGCTGATGTTTGCCATGCAGAAGGAAAAGGCACGTGTGCTGGCCACTGTCATCATGGACCACCCAGTGCAACCACCTTGCTTGCTCAGCAAAAAGAACTTCCCCACAGACTTCAGCTTCTGCCAGGTGAACATGGTAGCAGATAGGTGAGTCCGCCGGAAGTGTTGTAGTCAGGGTTTTGGCAAGGTTAATACAGAACACATAATTTATAGGATTATTTTTATTTACCCAAAAAGTCAAATACAGAGGAGTGCAAGAGATTAACCGCAAACTAGAGGCCCAAAGAATCTAGCCTGGATCCCATGACAATGTCCCATACAAGTCCAGCTAAATGCTTAGAGTCCAAGGCAATGTCCTCCACTGAATTCCAATGGACTCCGAGTCCAGCCAGTGGCCTGGAGCCCATGACAATGTCATGCTTGTCCATATTGAGGATTGGCACTCAGAAGACCCAAAGGGCCAGCGGTGGAAACCAAAAAACCTACACCAGTGGGATGAAGGATTTATGCCACTGGGCTGAGGGATCTACATTGGAGCCTGGAAGTGATACTCATGGTGAAGATCAGAGCTCCTCTGACCAGAACAACAGCATTTCCTAGCGACAGCAAAGCCTCCAGCACCTCTGATGAGAACAGCCTAGTTCACATTAGGAAAACCATCCACAGCAAGCTTCTCTAGAAAATCAACAGCCCACAACCTTCCTCTCCAGTTATCTTTTTATGGCTATTGGCAATAATCCTCAGGTAGATTTTCTACACCCAGACCATGCTGATTCACTTCAGCTGGGCATTACAAGTTGACCATTACTTAATCCACCACAGAAAGCCTCCGAGATTTTTCTGTTTCTCCAAAACAAGATGTCCATCCTTGCACATTTTCTCCAGGCAGCAGAGGTAGACGCAAGGCAGGAAGATGGGCGGATACATAGCACTGGCTTCAGCCCTGAAGCATGTTGCTGTCCAGCTTTTTCTTGAGTGGACACAAATGTCTATCTGTGGCCGGAGATTTAGTAATTCACATGTGTAAATACGCACTACCAAAGTGAAGCCCATACTTTTCACTTTTCTAGAAATGGCCAGTTTTGCACCTGAGAGTCAGGCAGGGCAAGGGTGGTTGGACCAGCTCCTGTCCACACATTCCTAAACTCTGTGCTGAGCATGAAAGAGTCCGAAGTGGCCAGTCTAGGGCTCTAGGTACCTTTCAGTTTATCCCCCACCTGCCCACATCCTGGGCAGTAACGACATGAAGAAACCCAACCCCAGAGTTGTATAGTATGTGCTTCTAGGGGAGGTGATGGGGATGAACTGTGGCTTCAAGACTTGGACCACCAGGGTTGCAGATAAGATCACCTGACCATCCTAAGGCAGGGGAAGGGTAGCACAGGGCCTGTGAGTCCCAAGCGTTAAGGTGGAGGAGGGGAGGCAGGGACATAAGTCTGAGGGCCTCCCTGCGAACCCTGCCTTAGGTCTGGTTGGATTTCAGGCTTTCTTGCCTCTGCTGCAGCAGAGCAGGTGAGTGGGGCCTCAGTGGCAGCCACAGGCCTTGACCACCATGTTCCGGTGCTTACGCAGGATGACGTTGTTGCTGCTGTCATAGTAGAGCACAGAGGTAGCACTCAGCTTGGTGGGTGCACAGCACGCCTTGGGAACTGCATCTGGCTTCATCAGGTGCACCTGGCCAGGGAGCGAGCACAGGCAGGGACGGGAGCCTGGAGGCCTCCTCCAAGGGCCCACCCGGCCCCCTCCCAGGTCCCGCATGCTGTCGCCCGTCTTGCAGGTCTTCGTCCACTTGCCTCTGCCAAGGTCATTCTACACCTGCAGCCAGGGTCCCCTGTGCACCTCTGCCCTGCCCACCACCCCCGGGGCACTGCCAGGCACCTGGCACAGCCATCCGGTCCCGAACACCTGCCCCTCAGCTCTCCAGGGCCCTCGGCCACCCCTAGCCACACTGACTACCCCAGATGTGACGACCCTGTGTGTCCCTAGCACCCCTGCACCTGGGCACCCTCTGCTTCACACTCTTCGCTGTGCTGTGACTACATCCCCGACGGCTCCCGACATGAGCTGTGGACGGGTGGTCTCCCCTCCAGACTGAGCCAGGAATGAGCACAGAGCCAATGGAGAGGTCCTAGGGCTCCAGGGCCCCCTGGACGTGTTCCCTGCTCCTAACAACTCCCAGGGCAAAGATTATTCTTTGAAGACGATGAACTGAGGCACCGAGGCCCGAGGCCCGTGGTGATCTGTGATCCTGTGATCCACAGGAAGGAACCAGGAGGTGCCAGCTGCCTGTGATGGCCAATGGGCCCTGAGCAGCCACAATCCAGACAGGGCCGTCCCTGAGAGGGGACCCTGGAGAGGAGTCAGGGCCTGGGTGCTGCCATTCGTGGCTCCTCCACAGCTCTGGCTTCACCAGATGGGCAGCACCGAGGGGAGCGGCCTTTAATCCACCCGGTATCACAGACCGACTCCGGTGTGCAGGGTCCCGTACGGCCACTTGTGTGTTCCACTGAGGAGTTTTGTTTGTTTTCCTTTTGCAGTGCTGAGGACTGAACCCAGGGCCTTTTCAATGCTAGGCAAGGGCTCTACCAGTGACCTGCACCCCATGCCCCGTTTCATTCATTTTTGAGTCACACTCTGTGTGGGAAATGAAATCAGAAGTTGTGGCGCTTGTGGATGTGCATCTTTGGGGACGATCCCATGCCCGGGGGACACAGCCTTCTCGGCCAAAAGTAGAACCACACTTTTCTCATTTCCAACATACATATTTGAACATGAGCCAGGAGGGGAGCCCAGGACTCCCAGGCAGTGAACGGCAGCATTTCACGGACACACACAGCAGTCCAGTAACAAAAGCACAGCACCGTGGCAGGAGCGCTGGGGACAGCCTGACTCAAAAGGACCCCTGGAGCTGGACGTGATGGTGCAGGCCTGAAATCCCAGTACTCAGGAGGCTGAGGCAGGAGGATCGCTGTAAGTTTAAGCCTAGCCTGGGCTACATAGTGAGTTCAAGGCCAGCCTGGACTACATCGTGAGACCCTGTTTTAAAAGGAAAGACACATGGAAGGGGGTTGCTGGACAGGGTGGCTGAGGGGCTGCACGTGCCAAGCCGGGGACCCAGACTCCTCTGGAATAATCGGAAGGGCACAGTGTCCTGGCTGAGAAGGGTGTGAGCGGGTGTGGTTGTGGCAGGAAGACCCCCTAGCTGCCGTGTGGACAGAGGCCCTGGGGGTGGCCTGGAGGGCCCCCAGGACCTCAAGGTTCCCTCCCCTTCCTCACTGACCAGGCCCACGGCTGCTCTTCCTGCCCAGACTCTTGGGGCTGCTGCCTGTCCCTGACGTTGTCTGTCCTCGGGACTTAAGACCATCCATGAGCCACATCTCAAGACGCTGAGTCTCTCTCAGGACCTTTCTGTTCCACTCCACATTCACAGGACCCCCTGCACACCCGACCTCACCATGTGGAGTCTGACCTACATGCCTGGGTCCCCAGAGAGCGCCTCTCTCAGCTGCTGTCACCTCTTTCCCAACTGCCAGGCCCTGTCCTCGGGGCCCCCACCGACAAGCCAGGGCGGGATGGCTGCGGTACTGACCAGGGACTGCAGGATGGCATGGTTGGTGGCGTTCATGCAGGAGTCCAGCGGGAAGGAGCACTCTCCCTCACAGTAGTAGGCCGAGTAGCCTTGGGGGGCGATGACCCAGTCCTGGGGGAACGGGTGTTGAGTCCCATCGTGTGCTCCCAGAGCCCCCAGCCCAACTCCCGTCACGGGAGAACCCGGGCAGCCCATACCCTCCCTGAGCCTCAACGCCACCAAACCCACTCTCGGCACCCTGGCCGTGTCCCCGACCGAGTAGCCTGGGGGCGATGACCCAGTCCTGGGGGAACGGGTGTTGAGTCCCATCGTGTGCTCCCAGAGCCCCCAGCCCAACTCCCGTCACGGGAGAACCCGGGCAGCCCATACCCTCCCTGAGCCTCAACGCCACCAAACCCACTCTCGGCACCCTGGCCG